TTAAACCATTTAAAGTGTATTGTATTATTGATTCAATTGTATATCTGATTTCTTGTCAAAATAACTGTTCTGTTGGAAGTGAAAAATAAAACTGAAACTGAATGTATTTCATACGCAATTGACCCATCAATTGCACTGATTCTGTTTATGTCGGATAAAAATTACTACCGTCTAACAGCAGATAGATTGGTTTTATTTAAAAAAAAATGTTTTTAGGGTTCATTTATTGGACATCCCACCACTAACCTATTCCAAGAGATGATGTATTCACATTTTTACACGCAGAACAAGCTAGAACTTTGTTTGACAAGCCATATCCATCAGTGAAATATTGTTCCGGTTAGACTTTGTTTCGTAAGTTTGAACTTAATAAATAAAACTTAATGAAACAATGACATCTATGCTAAACATATTACTCATTGCTGATGAAGTATCGAAAATAATATCGCTAGTGATATTCGTTTGTCTCGTAATGTATGGTCACCAAGGGATTTAAAAGGTCATGTTAGTCGAGCGCCGCTGCAACACTTCGTCGGGTGATAAATATAATTTAAGCAAGCGTGTTTTATACTCTGCGGGCGGACCGTCGCACAGTGGGCCAGGGAGCAACCAAAGTGCGCCAAAACTAAATTTTTGTGATTATTTTCTTTTTTCTTTTTCTTGTCCAGTTGATAGATAATACATTGAAGAATATCTCAGTAAAAAAAAAAAAAAAAAATTTAATAAAAAAAAAAAATCACCAAAAATGAGTTTTGGCGCAATTTGGTTCCTTCCTGGCCCACTGTGCGTCGGTCAAATAATTCGATCAATAATTAGAACAATAACGGACAAGGCCTATTGGCCGAAGCAACAGGTGCTCTACCAATCAGCGGGCCGCTGGCTCGGCTGGCCTGTTGATTGGTTGAGCACGCTATTGTTCCCGCGGGGAAAGATGTAGATATTGATGGATATTTTCTCCCGTGTCAGGACATATCCGAAACCGACGAGAGCGAAAACTGGAGAAAAAAATAATCATGGTGCAAATTAACTAAAAATGCACATCAAACATTTGCTGAAGTTTACTAGAGTTGAAATGAAAGACTGGAAGCTGCGGTGAAACACAATATGGCGCAGGGTGAATACCATGAATATATGAATATGAACACTGTAGATAAAATAAACTAAAGAATTAGACACTAAGGAGTACAAGTTCAATTATTACTAATGCACCTATCTGTAATGGACTTATCCTGTATTTATAATGATGTACATTAGTGTGAGGAACAAAAACTTGCGGATTAGAGCTATATTTTAATGGTAACAAATCACCACGATCGAAAAGGAGTTTTCCCGCCTCAGTACGATGAAAACTGAAAGTGAAGTCAAATTTGATTATAAATGGGGGTCATAAGTTCTGCAAATTAAATTATAATGCCTCCTTAGTTCAATATCGTAGCAGCTTAATAACAATTAATGCCGTTTTTCTAAAAAAAAAAAAATTTAATCAATGGACAGGTACAATGATTAGTTTCATCTTCCACCCGATGATCGAAACTAAGTTATAGGTTAGACAATTTAATTATTTAGGTTTTCTCCTTTGTGTAACTTAATTCAGGACAAAATGTACAACACTAACATTGACTTTTATGTCAGGTTAACAACAACAATTACGTTATCAGTGTTAAACTTTTATTTAATAAATTATTAAAACAATCTGATATATTTTTTATTTATAAAAAAAATCAAAATCTCATATGATATTCAGTAATTTACCTCTTTGTGATACTCGAAATAATAGTTTCCGTAACACTTGGTCATGGTGATGCACCTTTTGACATGCTGTTTTGCAGCTTGGAAAGCGCTCCAATTCACATCAGTCTTGTTTTTCCCCATCGCCTTTCACATCGGCGGCGTTCACTTCATGAATCCCCTATTGTCGAGTTATACCACCGGGGCCTGCGACGAGCCTTGATGGTGACTGTCTTCATGGGAGCAGTAGAGTCAAGAGTCACCTGCACGGCAGAATCAAATTCCAATACGATCTTATTGATAAGACATTCATCAGCAGTCCCATTATCAACTTCAGGAGCATCAAGTTTAGCCGCGAGCTCAGAGGCAAATTTAGAGTGATCCATGTCTTTGAAGTCCCTGTAGGATATTTTTGTTGATATCAACTCAGGATGAGACACGCTTAGAGAAGCGCATACCACGTGGTAATCAGAAATATGATTGACGTGAACTTTGTAGTTCATTAAACTATCACCATAGGGTCACCATAGGGTCAAGTGTATTTCCTTACCTGTGCGTTCGCTCTGAAATGTCCTGTACAAGACCATTTGCAGAGAGTGAGGATAGACCTTTAGCCACGTCTGATTTCCCTGGAATATCAAAATGAATATTCATATTCCCTAGCAGAACAAGCATACCTGGCAGCAGACTCGCAGCATCGATAAAGTTGTCAAACTATGATAAGAATGAGGAAGTACGCAAGCCATTTTTAGCTGGAGGAGGTGGCCTGTAGATAACGACAAAGTGAATGTCTCTTGTAGTGTTGGATACCATAGCGTGTTCAAAGGTTACTGTATCTGGAAGAATACCAGGAACAAGTTGCAGATTGAGTTCACTCAGAGAATCCATACCCCCCCCCCCCCCCCGAAAAAATAGAGACATTGTGAGCTTCATATGACAGTATACGTTAATCTGAAGTAGTGCCAGTAGAATACCCTGCCTTTAAAGGTCGTACTTACACTGAATGAAAAAGAACAGAGTGAAAATCTTCTCTGCATCAGTATTCTAAAGTGAAAGAGGACAGATTTGTAGTTTCTGAGCGACAGGTTTCGAGCGGCACGCATATTTGGGGGCCAAAACATATAGACCACTATTTGATAACTCTCTATAATAATGACTTGGATTTCTTTAATTATTAAAATGAGGGGCGAAAGGCAAGTAAGATATCAAGATTATTGATATGGACTCAGATAAAACAAGGGTAGAAAGTTGATTAAACCAGGAATAGAGATATATTACTGACTATTTTAGGAACGGTAAAAAGCACGTGTTTCTATTTATGTTCATTGACTTCCTCAGAGGGGGAGATAGACTACGCTTTAGTTTGAGAATATAGTGTTCATCATTAAAGGTACTATGTCCCATTTGCAGGCCAAAAAAATGAAAAAGTTAAATTCCAACTGCATTTGAAAGGTAATACTTATTTAGAACTTCCCTAAAAAAGATGGGGCTTGAAAGTGTCTTCAAGTGGGAAAAAAATGACTATAAGTTGTCAAATCGACTTTAGGGCTATAGAGCCCAAAAGTAATAGTCTTGATTTTCAGACAATTGTACCGAATGGTCATACGTTTTATGCTGCGCAAAGATTCAATCAGTTTAATCTTGGCCATCACAAGAGTTGGGTTATTGATGTAGACAAATGCTCATGTACCCTTTACAACTCTTTTCGTGTATGTTATTACCAAAGAAGAAAAAAGCCAGTCAGTCACTCAATAGTGTCTGACAGTGAAGTCTAGCAAGTAAACGGGTTTCCTTGCATAATTTGAATATGAGGACACTGCTAACGTTTAAATTTCACAGATAGGACATACATGACATATTCATAATTCCTGCAAAGTTCTACAGAATTTGAGGTTGGCTGCAAAAGGGACATAGTACCTTTAAAGATTCCACTTAATTGGATATTAAGATGTACATGGATGCATGGCCTTTTGTTAAGTTTCGCTGTAAAGGTTAGGTCGCGGGACGCGCAGCCCAGTTCAGTTTTGTTTTACTTTTAATATGGTCACGATTACTTTTTAGTAGTATAAATTTAATACAAAGGCTTTATTACACTCCGACTTCGGACTTTGGTTTATTCTTCAAAACTATTTAATTTGAACGAGAGATATATGATCTAATGAACGAGAGAGGGAAAAAAAATGAGAAAAGACCTGGATTCAGTGTGAAAGGACAGATAATCGAGCTGAATGTTAGAATTATGTTGAAAGTTATAATGATATTTTGTTTTAAAGAATTTATTTTTAATTTTAAAAAAAAAGGACTCGCAAGGTATGTCGAATTGCTAATTTGTGTTCGATCTCGCAGCTTTAAAACATCGTTATCGTTTGTCAAATTTTCTTTAAAAATTCACGGATCTACATTTCTATTATTTTCTGCCTTTGATCAAACCTTATGCCACAATGAACATTTTATTAACTTTTATATCACTTTTTGCACTAAAGGACCCAGTCTACAGTCAATGTTGTTTTAGACTTTTCCATGCCTTTGTCACAACTAAGTGAATATCTGCTTACAACTAATATTCACCAAAGGACAAAAGGGTGGCCTTTTTCAAGATAATAATGATAACAATAGTTGGTTCTTGTATAGTTCTCGTTTCTGTCAGACTTGACATTCCTGGCCCTTTACATATGTGAGAATGGAGTCTCTAATAAAACAATTTTTTCTCATTCGGCCATATACTTGTGGAACAAGTTATAAAACGCTTTGTAACTGCAAAAAATGCGTTATCCTGGTTATAGCTATATAAACAACAATAAATATTCCTACCTACATTATCAAAACTTTGAGGATTATGTTTACCACCTGTGTAGGCAAAGCCAGAAATCTGCTTTTCACATTCTTCCCTTTTTGATTTGTGTAGAAATTTTGGCTCACATTCCGGCAAATCGATTGACATTTTCATGCATATACTTTCGAAGACGCTTCCATACCCTCACCGTAGTGACGGCTGAACAATATCACTTGAGAAAAATCAATCCAATCTTCCTTTGAAAACAGAGCTGTTCTGGTTTCAGAGACTTATTATAACGCTTTTAACCAAGTTAATTATTCTTGATAGGAGGGTAAGCGGAGAAATATTTGCTACGTTGACACTTTTACACCTAGAAGTACGTCTCGTGAATGGCTCCAACCATGCTGAAGGAAGAGTGGAGGTCTTGTACGATGGATCGTGGGGAACTGTCTGTGATACCTGGTGGGATCTGAACGATGCAAGGGTGGTTTGCAGGATGCTGGGTTTCGACGGTGCTCTAGATACGCCACGATCAGCCAGCTTTGGTCAGGGTTCTGGTGATGTTCTGCGTGTCGATTGCTCGGGAACAGACTGTTCAAACGTTGGGACCAGCACTCCCTGTGGACATCATATGGACGCAGGTGCCGTATGTTATTTAGGAGGTATGATCATTTGCACACTCTAGTCCTAAATTATGGAATGGCCTTCCTGAAGACATCAAAAAATGTTTACACGCGCCTTGAGCACTCCACAGAGTGGATTTGGCGCGATATAAGTTACATTATTATTATTATTATTATTATTGTGAACTAAAGACATAAGTAAAAGATTGCAGAATTTGCTACACGCATAATTTCCTCAGAATCGTATCACTCTTATCTTTGAATCATTTCCATGAATGATTCACAATCTATCCGAATCGGATAATCATTGCCTCAAAAATTAAATACATAAATGGAATGAAATGTAGAAATACCCAATTAAGATTGAAAAGAATCCATATTTGTCCATGCCATTCCTAATTCATGGTAATATGTGTGTTCTAATTACATACAATAAACATGACATATTTCATTCTATAATATTTTCATAATTTAGACCATCCTAACCCATTGCAAGTTCGGCTTGTTAATGGATCTAACGATGCTGAAGGCAGAGTAGAAGTACTGTACGGAGGCTCCTGGGGAACTATCTGTCATTACTGGTGGGATCTGAGAGACGCGAGGGTAGTTTGTAGAATGCTGGGGTTTGATGGTGCCTTGGACGCACCGGGATCTGCTAGGTTTGGTCAAGGATCTGGTCCTATTCTTCTAGATAGGGTCAACTGTGATGGAACAGAAGACAACCTTGCAGGATGCGGTTATTCAGGGAATGCACGTTACTCATGCAGTCATACAAGTGATGCAGGTGTCATGTGTTACTCAGGAGGTTTGTTTTGAAGGCAGTTTAACCTAGTAATACACCTACCCGACTAAAATATTCATTGGGCACGAACATCAGAATAGCTTTATAAAAAGTGACTTTAAAATTCTGAATTTTTCCTCCCAATTTATTTTATTTTAAAATGAGCCGAATGTTTCGCAAAGTAGAAAGTTATTGTATTGTATATATGCTTTTATTTGGTCTTTTTCTAAGAGGGTATTTTAATGGATTGTACGTAACAATAACATTTAAATAAGGTGACCCCCCCCCCCCCCCTTCAAAAAACGAAAGACATCATTCCACCTTATCGACGGTATTGCATGGTAAAAGCAAAAACAACCAAATTTGAATAATTTTCTCATATTGAGTCTATAATTAGATGATACTGATAGGATACCTTTATGCAATCAAAAGCAACCGAAAGATGTTATTACGTTTTCATTCCCTTGTAGTCCATCCAAACCCATTGCAAGTTCGGCTTGTTAATGGATCTAACGATGCTGAAGGCAGAGTTGAGGTCATCATTGAAGGATCCTGGGGAACTATCTGTGATGACTGGTGGGATCTGAGAGACGCAAATGTGGTTTGTAGAATGCTGGGGTTCGATAAAGCCTTGGACGCACCAGGATTTGCTAGGTTTGGTCAGGGATCTGGTCATATTATTTTTGATAGGGTCAGCTGTGATGGAACAGAAGACAACCTTGCAGGATGCGGTTATTCAGGGAATGCACGTTACTCATGCAGTCATACAAGTGCTGCTGCAGGTGCCATTTGTTACTCAGGAAGTATGATTCATTATTTATTTATTAGGGGGGGGGTAAGCGGACACTTTTTTTTTTTTTCGAGTCCAAAAGAAATCACAACGACTCAGCCAGCCGTAAAGTCGCTCAGTGGGGGGGGGGGGGGGGGGGGGGGGGGGGAGGGGGGGGGGGGGGGGAGGGGGGGGGGGGGGGGGGGTAAGCGGACACTTTTTTTTTTTTCGAGTCCAAAAAAAATCACGACTCAGCCAGCCGAAAAGTCACTCAGTGGGGGGGGGGGGTCACCTTTTTTAGGTTAGCCGTGGGCATATGTATATATATATATATTTTTTTTTTTAATAATTAAAAAAAAAAAAAAAGGGGGGTTAGGTTTTTTTAGGGGGGTTTACACACATAAAAATACCAAAGGGGGGGTTTAAACCCCTAACCCCACCCCCACCCCCCCCCCCCCTGCGTACGCCCCTGCTTATCAACGGTTTCGCATGGTATGAGCAATAACGACCAAATCAGAATAATGTTCTCATTGTATGAAATACACGTTGTCGTATATGTTTACCACATTCTATACATAGTTGTATTAAGGCGAAATTCCGTTTTTCCTTTTCGTCTACACTCCATATTGAGTCTTTTAGTAGGTAGTACTGACAAGATACCGAAATGCAATAAAAAGCAACCGAAAGCTGACCCGATTAATTCAAACTGCCCAAATTCTTTCTCACCCAACGTATGTAGAAATTTGTGATGACATCATCTTTTCAACAACAAAAAATATTACGCTCTTATTTTCTTGTAGTCCATCCAAATCCTTTACAAGTTCGTCTTGTCGGTGGGTCTAACGATGCTGAAGGCAGAGTAGAGGTACTGCATCACGATGGATCCTGGGGAGCTATCTGTGATGACAGCTGGGATCTAAGAGACGCGAGGGTAGTTTGTAGAATGTTGGGGTTTGATGGTGCCTTGGACGCACCGGGATCTGCTAGGTTTGGTGAAGGTTCAGGGGATATTCTTCTAGATGATGTCGGGTGTGAGGGAACAGAAGATAACGTAGCGGGATGCATTCAACGAAGGGTTGAAGTACAATACTGTGGACATGATGAAGATGCGGGCGCTATTTGTTACAATGGAGGTAAGAAATACCGTAACATATATTCATGATATTTTATCATATTATGTATCCACTTAAACCGGCTGTAAATGGTCCGGAGATGATGACAAGTTATGATGACAAGTTAAGATATCATATTGCAACGACCAAACTTTATTACTGCAAAAACCCTAAAGAAAACACATAAATAACTGTCTAGTGTTATTTCATTTTTTGTTACAATTCACATTTCATTTGTTTTCATGATTCAATTATCAATTATTGACTTCCATTGCCTCAGCACATCCGAATCCTTTCAGAATAAGGCTCGTCGGAGGATCCAGCAGTGCTGAAGGCAGAGTAGAGGTACTGTACGATGGATCCTGGGGAACCATCTGTGATAATGGCTGGGATCTGAGAGACGCGAGGGTGGTGTGCAGAATGCTTGGGTTCGATGGAGCCTTGGACGCACCGACTTCTGCAAGGTTCGGTCAGGGATCTGAGGATATACTTCTGGATTTTGTCGGCTGTGATGGAACGGAAGAAAATCTAGCGGACTGTGCATATCTTTTGATAGGCGTCCATTACTACGGACATGGACAGGCTGTTGGTGCTATCTGTTACTCGGGAGGTATATGTCTATACTTTCAATAACATAATGATATTTGCACACCTTCTTATGATATATATGGCGCAAGTTTGGACCCCTAATCTATCTTGAAAGATTGCTGTTCGACTATCTTACGGCGACCCCTAACATGCCAATTGAGAACGTTTGAGTAACATCAGGGTTGAATATCATTACAGTCATCACATGCCAATTTGCACAATGTCTAGAAGGTGCAATGTAAGCGTGGACACAATAGAAATGGGTCCTATTTGTGTCATGGCCCTGTATGTTAAAAAATGTGTTTCACAGTCTGATAGGGATGATTGACACTGGCTAATAGGGATGTATTCGGTAGGAGCGTAAATGAAAGAATATAGTAGATGATACGATTTTCACATAATTTTCGAACTCCAATGAGATATAGACTAAAGAATCCACATCCTGTACGAAGACTTCTCAAAGTCCTGACCGCGGGGCATGTCAATTCGACCGCCCGGGAGGCCCTGGTGTTGCTCTTTACCTTAAAAGGGTCGGGGAGGGGTAGACTCCATCCGGTCCCCTTTATTCTGATACCAAATTCATACAACTTCGACCAAAGGGTACCGTGGGGACTGTGTAGCATCAATAAACAAGTTCCCTTAGATCAGATATACCCTAAAAAAATATAAAACACCCTATTTTTCTTTCGTATACAAGTGTCATTACTGTTATTTTAAAGAGTAGATTGTCGGAATCTTTGCATCAATACCTTCGTCTTCCAATCACTCTTTTTGTGCCAAAGTTTACTGGTTTAAGCAGCGTATTGCCGGGGAACAATACCACTTTTTCTACTGATATTCCCTACATGCATGCCATAAATTCAAATTTTGATTGTATCAACTGTATAATATTACAAACTTATATGTATAGAATAATCGATTAAGTCAGCATAATTTCCTCATTGCTTTTTACCTTGTTGCTTTCATGAAAATGATCTGGATCGTCCAGGTAAAAGTTTCAGAACCCCTGTCCTATACGACTTTATGAAAAGCTTAGCTGGAAAACGATAGGGAATGACAATTACGGCTCTTAAACAGAGTAAATTCTTTTTCTTTCTAGCCCATCCAAGTTCTGTTGGAGTACGGCTCGTGGGTGGGTCCAACAGTTCTGAAGGCAGAGTGGAGATCAGGTACAAAGGAGCGTGGGGAACTGTTTGCGACAATGGCTGGGATCTGCAAGATGCAAAAGTCGTATGCAGAATGTTAGGATTCGGCGACGCCTCAACTGCACCAGTTTCAGCCTGGTTTGGTGAGGGCTCCGATGAAATTCTCCTGTCTCATGTCGGGTGCGATGGAATGGAAGACAATCTTGCGGACTGCGCACATCTAGGGTTTGGAGTGCACAACTGCCAACATAACAACGACGCTGGGGTTACGTGCATCTTAGGAGGTACAATACTCAACTTTTACACACATTGCATCCAGTCATCATTTTTATCTTCATCATTTCAATTGACCTTAAAAATTGACACCATTATGAATAATTTGCTTACACTGACGCTGTGTATATATAGCTTTATTCCGAAAAGGCAATAACATTTTCACCGAAATTTATTTAAAAGATGAATACTCGTCTACATATTAAGCATTAACGAATAAAGTTGGAACTAGTGCAAAGGCCCGTATATTGTTATCATTAATTAATTAATTGATGGTCACCGAATTTTTTTTGAAAATGGAGATAAATTGGTATGATCATATGTAATCATGAATTCAACATTTCGGAGTCCAAAATTACCTCCAAAGCAATTTAGGACTTAAAAGGGCACTAGAAATGTCATAAACAAAATAAGAGCAATAACCACGCACTTTGATGGCATTTACAAACAACAAGTAAACTGTCCCTTTAATGCCATGTTCAAGATTAAATTCGTGATTGACATGATATGACAGGACACAGACCCAAACCTTTACGCACAACCATCTATGCAAACTGTATAGATTTTAAAATATAGAATTTGTAATAGGTAAAATATATTAATCTTCTTTAAAACTGCAAATGCGCGTGATCTTTTGGTGAAAAATTGATTGTTTTAATGAAATCTTTTTATTTTCGATGTGTAAGCAAATAATTGAGAGACTATAAAGCAATTTCACGTCGATTTTAGTTGAAAAATGAAGAATAACTTTTCTTTTGTGGTTTTTATTCAATCTATTATAGTTCGACTTGTCGGTGGAGCCTATGAATATGAAGGAAGAGTTGAGGTACTACATGAAGGGTCTTGGGGAACTGTATGCGACGATTTATGGGACCTGGACGACGCTAAGGTTGTGTGTCGACAGTTAGGGTTTGATGGGGCTTTAGCTGCTCTACCCCAAGCAAGATTTGGTCAAGGTTCTGGTGATATCTTTCTGGATAGTGTTCAATGTAATGGGACAGAAACCAGCCTCAGATACTGCAAGCATAAAGGGATTGGAGTCCATGATTGCGGACACAAAGAAGACGCCAGCGTCTCATGCATCCATGCAGCTCATCTAGGTAAAATCGCTACTGTACATAGCACTAATAAAAAATATGTTGACAAAGGCTGGTGTATCTACTGGGTGCTCTTAATGGATCCTCTGTTAATAAACAATAATAACAGGTTAACGATAGAACTGAATCACTTTTAAAACCAAAAACATTGTTATAAATTCATGCTACATTCTAAATTGTCTACATCACCTTCACTCTAATGTCTTAATCATCCCAGCGAATGTTTTTTTCCACAAATATTTTGAAAATGTTAACTGATTTTTGGTTTCGAAACGATTTGTTTCTTCTTTTTTTCATAGATTTGACTTCCTATTCCAATGTTGACGCATCTGGTGTAACAACACGTACTACAGACGATCTGGCGTCAGCAGCTGACGACACTACAGAAGTTGAGTTAAATACAGTAGTTGCATTAAGTACAGTAGTTGCGTTAAGTACACTAGTATCGTCAAGTACGCAGAACATTTCCCTTAAACAGATAATCCCGACTGAAATTGATATTTTGAACTTTAATACAAAACCAAGTCTAATGTCAAATCTTCCATTGATATATCTAATTGTACCTTGCGTTTTGTTCTTCATCATCATTCTTGTAGCGTCCTGCGCGTGCTGTTTTTGTATAATTCGAAAAAGAAGGGTTGCGGAAGATGTAAACGACGATATCTATATGGACGTAACGAATATCGTATCAAAGCACTCTCTGTCGGCTGATTCAACTTACCAAGACTTGAACACTCCACCTCGGTTACCGGATAGACAAGTGACCGGTGTGCATCATCATGATTATGAATCAAATATAGCAGCTGATAGTGACGATAAAGGTGATCTGAATCTCTCGCAATTCAAAAAAGAAGAAGAAAGGAATAAAAACATGGACATTGATAACGTTTATGAAATACCCGACAATGAAAAGGACTTAGATCCCGATGATTATATCCTTCCGACCAGGGAATCATTATCGGATGAGTACATCGACATGACAACTGTTTACCAAACGCCCTCAGTGGGGAAAGATGAAGACATTGATGGATATTTTCTCCCGTGACAGGACATATCCGAAACCGACGTGAGTGAAAACTGTGGGGGAAAATAACCATAGTGCTATTAACTAAAAATGCACCTCAAACAACTGCTGAAGTTTCCAAGATAATAAACTAAAGAATTAGACACTTAGGAGTACGAGTTAAGTTGTTACTAATGTACCTATCTGTAATGCACTTATCTTTCTTTTATAATGATGTACATAAGTGTGAGGAATTTTAAAAAATGCGATTTAGAGCTATATTTTAATGGTATCAAATCACCACGATCGAAAAGGATTTCCCGCTCCCGTACGATGAAAACTGAAAGTGATGTCAAATGTAATTATAAATGGAGGTCATAAGTTCTGCAAATTAAATTATAATGCCTCCTTAGTTCAATATTGTCTCAGCTTAATGACAATTAATGCCGTTTTTCTAAATAATTGTTTTAATCAATGGACCGGTACAATGATTAAATTCATCTTCCACCCGATGATCGAAACTTAGTTGTAGGTTAGACAATTTAATCATTTAGGTTTTTTCTCCTTTGTGTAACTTAATTCAAGACAAAATGTATGACGTTGACAGTGACTTTCATGTCAGGTGAAGCGACAAAAAATACGTTATCAGTGTTAAACTATTAAATGAATGAAACAATCTGATATATTTGTTTTGTTTAAATCAATGTCTCATATATAATAGGTAATATTACCTCTTTGTGATACACGAAGTAATAGTTTCCGTAAGATGGTAACGGACGAAATTAATTGCCAGACCTAATAAGAGTACAATGATTGACATTACAAGCACTGTACAAATAGTGAAACAAATGAAATCTATTAATCATAGTACTTTGTGTATGTCGTATCGTCGTTCAACCTAGCATTGAGCCGGTTAGGTATAATATCAAATTATTTACACTAGATAGAGATAAAGCACAAGTAAATAACTTTCTTTTTAATAACTTGGCTTGAAACTTTCTTAGATGTTGTAGGTATGAAAGTTTCAAGCCAAGAAATATTCGTGGAATTTGCGCCTCAACATTCATTGTAAATTGCACATAATCCATGAATTGAGATGTTATAGGTATGAAAGTTTCAAGCCAAGAAATATTCGTGGAATTATGCGCCTCAACATTCATTGTAAATTGCACATAATCCATGAATTGCATGATATCTGTGAATATAGATATAAATGGTTGGATATTATATTGCACATGTAGACTCACTTGATATAATTTGAGATTATGTGGTAATATGACTTACTTGCCTCTGTGGTGGCAATTTCCAATTTTATGCCAAAGTTACCTGTGGAAATTCATCATGGGATGGTTGCAGAAATTTAGATCTACGATGATCATAAAACAGAAGAATATCATGATTGTTGCTAATGATTTTTTGTTCTCACACAGGGATACATTTACAATCATTGTCAAATATTTCATGGATGATGAGGAACAATAGTAATTTAAATGATAAAGGAGTTATTAACTTTTAATAAAACGAACCCGTCATCTTATTCATCTTTTTATACACAAATTAATATCAATAAGGCAAGAAAGAATTCCCCGGTTTTATCAAGAAACTCTTTGTGGATCAGTAATTCAAAATCACATAATACAAATAAACTGGACTTTTAACCCTGGCTGGAAATTTTGTTCGAACAGATTTATGTTACAATGTGTTTGTAAGTGGGTAACGAGATTGCAGTAAGTGTGAGCAATGTGTCGGGTTATGGGGCCTTATGTAACAATAATTGATAATAATTTATGACTCCTGGCTGTAGTGTGCACTGAATAATTGGACTAGTCAATTACTTGTCAATTTTTTAGGCTTGACCATGTTTACATTATAAGTTTTTGTTGTTGATATTGTTAACTTGAGTTGTTTTTTGAAAAAAATAAACATTGGACTTAAGACTTAACGGATAATGATAACGCCGTGTCTATCAAATTATTTTTTTAGAATTGCATGCAACAGTATGTAATAAAGTTCTCCAACTTCTCTCTTCTTTGCATATTTCTTTTTCCCCTTATGTTTGTTGTTTGTTTGATTTTGTTGCTTTTGAGATTTACAATGTATGCAAGTACATGAATATGGATGAGTAAACATGTGCTAGCATTTTTGTATTGACGAATGACATGTATGAGTGTGCATGCATATTTGTGTGTAAGGGGCTCATGCCTTGAAGTTTAAAGTGTCCCCTATAGTATTAATGAGAAAATGCGTTAGTGTTGCTTGTACATGTATATTTACAATAACAAATTACTACTAAAATGATTGAATGAGAGGAAATTCAATAACGTTTGGAATAGAACTGATTGAGGAGATGAAGCATTTTTGACAGCGGGATGTGTGGGGCTGAGCATGTACAATGTAATGATGTAGTTTTTAAATTGAAAAGAATTGTGTATGTGCGTGTACAAGCGTGCGTGAGTGTGTGGGTGTGTGTGTGTGTGTTTATATGTTTTGGTGCGTATATATTATAATCCATTAAACGATGTCTAAAGCTGTCCAAGTAAATTTTAAAAATGTTCACAGAAATACAAGACAATCCAGTATATTCATGGTCAGGTAACTAATTTAAAAAAAAGATTGATACTGATTCTCAACTACAAATAAAGGACGCCAGCTTTGGTGCTAACAGTCACAAACCTACGTGGACATGATAAATCAATGCGATGTGCTTTAGTATTTATCTCTCACCTCCATGTCCTTGCCACAAGGAAAATCCATGCAGTGATACTGGAATCGACACCCCCCCCCCCCTCTTCCACCTCTCCCTCTCTCTCCCTTCCTCTCTCTTCTTCACTTTCTCAAAAGAAAATTCTCCGTCACACTACAAGGGAATGGGATATAAATTATTTTGTTAAAGCTTGTCTGCAAATTAACAACCGTTTTTTGTTTCGTTTTTTTTTTAATTTCCAGGCGTATTTTCAAAATCTGAGAATTACAACTCTCCTTGCTGGTATTTTCTTTTTACTTTAATTTTTATCATCACCTTTAATTCGATTTGTTTATTTTTTTAACTTCCCCTTTTTTTTGCTGGCTAGTGTGTTGGAAAAGTTATGATATAAGTTGTTGAAAAATCTGCATACTTTGCCAGCATCCAACATTTAAATCGGTCCAACGACGTTCCCGGTCCCATTTTTCATTTTATCCCCCCCCCCCCCCCCTCTCTCACTCTCTCTGTCTTTACGACTGTTACCCTCTCCTCGGTAGCTGCAAATTCATGTTTTTCGTTTCAGTATATCTTATTTAATAGTAATAATAATAGTAATAATTATTATTATAATTATGACATATGAGATTTGTAACGCACCCAATCCGTTTAAAATCAATACAACAGGGAGCACTTGAGCAAACAAAAATAAAAACACATGAAAATCATCTAAATAACAAACAAAAGAACACCAGGGTATAATTATATGAAATAACATACTAATATGAAAGTGAAAAGTGATTGTAATTACCGCCTGTGTCTCATTTAATTATAAATACAATTCTGGCTAATTTTATAATCAACGCTTATCCAAGAAGAAAAACATGATTATCAATTTGGTCTTTGATCATCTATCTAACCTGAAAGTAAATTCTTGCCAAATTCTTGATCAACAACGCCTATGAACTTTAGGTCAGATGCTGTAATGAAAGGAGACATCGCCAGACTGTCTATCAAAGACCCGTACGGACTGCTATTCATTATGCACGACTCGAGTCACGGCCCAGCTCACACCTAACGAGTCACGGGAGAGGTGCCCAAACACTCATGCACATTCACCATCACAGAGCCTCATCATTAACCAAAGGGCGATGGATGTCACACTGACGTGAATATGACCTTATGGGACTGAGTAGTGTTTCCTCACCGTCTCGTCGAAATAAATAGGTTACGGTCATTCACTGCCCGAGAAACACATTCACTGTTTACACACAAAGAAATGTATATAGGACAGGCGTCACAATTAACCACAGAAGTACACATTTGTTTCTATATTTACTGGGCGAGTTGTCACTTATTCAAAGGGGAAACGCTTAAACGTTAGTAAACGACCCCTTATTGGCAGATGTTTGAAAAATAGTTTAAACGAAGTAAAATCCATTTTGCCCAAAATCAAATACAAAATGTGCTCTAAAATAATACTTTTTCGGCTCATCGGGTACAAATTCACTAAATGTACCATATTTGATCGAAATCTGCATTATGTTATAAGAGTCGCATGTTTCTTTGTGAAAAGTTATGTATACGATCCTTTTTTTGCAATGACGAACCTTCGTCATTGCCTTGTTTTCGTTCACATTCTGCCCCATTAATATTCTCCTTATCGTCCAGAAATCACATTCGTTTTGCACGTAGTGCTTGTGATTCCTAGTTAGGTGCTTTCCTCATGTCCTTTTCCTCTGAAATTTCGTAGGCATCATCTCTAGCATCTCATCAAGGTCACCTACTTTTTCGATTTTCGAAATCACTCATGCATGACCGTCCAGGCGCCATTTTGTCCGTTTCTGGTCCATTTTAAGGCCTTTCTTTCTTCCTTCCTATCTCCACTATCATAGATCCTACAAACTTCTAACAAATTCCTCTAGATAGCCTAAGAGATGTTCTTTAATCTGCGATGTATAACTTGCCCTTCAAAATGCCATCTTCATACTCAAAATTCAAATCTGAAACCGTCTCCGTCAACAATCTCTCAAATTCTTGAAAAATGGACCCCTAAATAATCTAAAACTGCCATAACTTTCTGATATAAATTCTGTTTTGTATTTAAATCGCACAGTATCTTTATCTCATAATTGCACATAGCCATGCCAAATTTCACGCTCCAATGGCTTTGCAAAACATAAATAGCGCCCTCTAAAGTTCTGGGAACTGGCTTTCTTTCTGTGGCCGTATCTCCATTATGGCTTGGCAAACCCGTACCCTTTTTTGGATTTAGATACTTGAAGATATGCCCTTTCCAGCCATATACAAAATATATACCCTAACACTGACCGACTTTGCGAAAAATGCCCTCCAAATTCGC